GAGTTGCCAGCAGGCAGTGTAGCACCTGGCTCCTGAAGGCTCCGGAAAGCTGAAACCCAGCGTTGTGGGTGAGAAGGCTGCAGAGCTGAGGGGAAAGGTACATGGGGAAGGGGGTGGGCTGCTCTGTCTTGGCAAGGCCTGGGGAGTGCCAGGCAAGAAGGCGGCGGCGTAGCAGTGGTGTTTTGGGAAGAACACCTAGGAATGCTGTAGGCAGACGGCGCGTTAGGGTTGCTCCATTCCCCAAGCTCTGCCATTAGTGTTTTATCTGGGGAACTCACCGCAGAATGCCTGGGGTGGGGATCTGACTGCTGCAGTCGTGCATTGGAAACGTTCTGGTTTGTGTCCCGAAACTGCTGTGGGCCATGTTGTTTGGACGGCGGTGGTGTGCCGCGGCCTGCTAGGCGACTGCCGTGTGGTGAGTTTGGGGGGCGCTGCAGGACGGGGTGAGGTCTGAGGGAGTGCGCCGTGTCTCGGAGGTTGTGTGCGAGGCTGACTTCGTGGTGCTCTGTTGTGGATCTCGCGCGGGGGCAGCACGTCGAGTACGTGGCATGAGGCTTGCTGTAGTCTGTTGTGCGTAGGAGCTGCTGTGATGTGTGACGTTGTGTAGTACAAGGTGCTGTGGAGGTGGGTGTCTGTTCGTAGCCCTGTGAATTCCCGTCGTGTGGTGGTCCTGTCGATTGCTAGGCTTGCGCTAGCATCCTGGAGGGGCGGTGGGTTGCGCTTAGTGTAGCATGTAGGGCAGGAGGGTGACTTGCCCTGTCTTAGGGCAGCTGCAGAAGGTTGTGATTGTGTGTGAGAAGCACCAGGAAGGTTTTTCGGTGACTCCGTGGCAGGAGTGTTTTCGGAGGGAGCCGGGAGCCACTCCTGCAGGGGACTGTCAGCCTAGCAGAGGCGCTCTGTGTTGGGAGCAGTGCAGAAGGCTCAGGCTGGAGAGAGCTCTGACAGATGGGACTGTTTGAGACACACAGACCCAGACAAACAGGCGTCCTTTGCTCCCCTGGGAGCCTGCAGCTGCTGCTCCTCTGAACTGCTCCTGGCTTTGCCCACCTTGGGGCTCTCCCCAGCCCACACCAGGCTGGTGCCTGGCTCCAGTCTGGAGGAGAAGACACTTCGATTGCACCAGCCTAGCCAGGCTCAAAGGGAGAGGAGGCAATGCAGACAGGTGGCGTTTACCACCCTGCAGTGCAAGCACAACCCACTTAGCTCCAGTGCCTCTACAGCTGGGAAGGGTTTGGTCCTACCATGGGCAGATGCAGGCCCAGGGCCCTGCTGCAGAGATGGCTGCAGCCCCCCGGTATCAGTGGTGATGGCAGAAGGCTCCTTCTGCTAGCAAACCCGGAGAAGGGTTGGCAGGGATACTGTTGAGCATGTGGAAGAGCGAGGCTGGGAAGTGGCTAAGAGCGAGCGAGCGGTAAGAATACGGCCAAGGCACCTCTGAAAGCGTGGTCAGGAGCAGGCCCAGGGCCCTGCTGCAGAGATGGCTGCAGCCCCCCGGTATCAGTGGTGATGGCAGAAGGCTCCTTCTGCTAGCAAACCCGGAGAAGGGTTGGCAGGGATACTGTTGAGCATGTGGAAGAGCGAGGCTGGGAAGTGGCTAAGAGCGAGCGAGCGGTAAGAATACGGCCAAGGCACCTCTGAAAGCGTGGTCAGGAGTTGGTGCTTTTCCCAGCTCGGACTCTCCCTTCTGGGGTGCAGAACCTGGCACCCACTCATCTCCCCGACCAGGGCTGGTTTGGTTCAGAGCCCTGCCCGGCATGAGCCGCGACCGAGTCAGAAGGGACCACCGCGGGTCTGAGCTCCTGTTTCTCACAAGCCGCCCACCCCCCAGCCACCGCACACGAGCAACGGGAATTAGGCCATCGCTGCCCAGAGGCTGCCAGCCTAGGATGTGCCGCAGGCAGAGAGAAGAGGGACTGTGGTGCCGGAGGCCCCCGCAGCGGCAGGGAAATGCTCAAATAAACCCGGCAAGTGACTCGTGCCCACAAGCTGCCGAGAAAGGTAGAATCCCCCGCAAAGGCCCTGCTAATCTGAGTGTCTCTGCTCCACGGAGTGACAGCACCATAAGCCCAGAGAGTGGGGTCTCTTTACCTTGACCCCCATACCCTGGGACTCCGCCCCCTCTGCTCTGCCCTCCTTGAATACAGGTGTTCCTGGACGTTGCCCAGTCTCAGACCTGTTCTACAGCATTACCCCCCCTCCTCCCGGTGCAATATTTGGTTCCCACTTTCACAAAGCTCTGCGGCACTCCACCATTCTCTTCGCCATGAGTGCTGATCCAGGCTCGGATTAAACCACCTGATACACTGATGTACGTACTGGGGCGTTAGCTAGGAAAAGACCTGAGTTTTCTCTCTGTATCTCCTCTGAGCTCCTTCCCTTCACTACCGAGCCCTGCCGCATCTAATTCCCATCAGTTAGGTGCCGAAATACTTGTGAGGACCGGCCCCGATTGCTTTGCCCTCTGCCTCCGGAAAGGGCAGTTGTAGAGAATCTGAGCTCTCTCCCCACCTAGCTGTGCGCCTTAAGACAAGACATAGCCTAGGCCAACCGACCCAACCTCTAGGACGTTTTCGTGGGAAGCAAAGACTGTCTTGTGCATAAGTGAGTTCAGGATTTCTGTTACAGCTGGGCAGGGAACGAACTAGCTAACTTGGGGTGCTGTGTGCTGCGGTGCTGTCCTCACTGGCTTCTCTCCCTTTCGGCTCTGGAGAGAGAATAAATTTGTATTTATATTGATACGTCAGCTGGTTCTCTGACCTCATTATTCCGGTTGCGCCCCTTCCTTCTCTCCCTGTGAATCTGCCATTCGGGGCTTGCTGGTTTGCACCCCACTGCTCAGTGCCAGAGGGTGGGGAGCAACTTCCCTGGTGGGTAAGGCAGTGCACAATCATCCATCCTCTCCTGTCTCTGCTCCCTTCCTTGCAAGAGCCTGTTAAAGGGGGCTTGGAGGAGCGGGACGTTGCTCACATTTCTGGGGACAGCCGTGGTCCTACCCCAGACCAGATTTGCTCAGTTTACAAGGTGTGTGTTTTCCTCTGTGCCCGTGCCCCAAACTCATCCTGGGGCCTGGCAGCAGAATTGGCTCCGTTAGCTCATCCATCATTGCCAGGACTAGCGACTCCGCCGTGGGCACTTCATTAATAACGCTGTGGACAGAAGGAGGCCAGACTAGAGTCCCTCTCCCTCTTCCAGGGCCCTGCTGGCTCTGCGGGTGGGAATGTTCGTGGTGAGCCGAGCAGGCAGGAGTCTGGCTACACCCGGGGCCCATGCGTAAAGGAAGTGCTGGTTTCTCAGGCTCTTCTCTGACCAACAAAATCTGTTCCAAAGTTCCCGGCCCTGCCCATCAGGAAGCTGGGATTTGACAACCACAGCCAGAGCTTAGGCCGTTTTTCTTTGCCTGCTCTTGTATGGAAGAGCCTTTTCCAAGCAGGCAAAACAAGGAGTCCTCTGGCACCTTAAAGACTAACAGGTTCTTTAGGGCATGAGCTTTTGGGGGCTGCAGCTCACAATCCCACAAAAGCTCATGCCCTAAGAAACTTGTTAGTCTTTAAAGATGCCACCAGACCCGTGTTCCCTGTAAACTGAGCGATTGCTCAGGAGAACTTCAAATGCCACCCATTCTAGAGGTGGTGCACATCACCCATGTTTAGGTGCACACCACAAAAATTATTCTTCACATGGATGAAAAATTAGAGAGAACATTGCACGGGACTCCTCGTTCTTTTTGCTAACAACCAACCAGGGCACCAGCTTACAAACAGGGGTGCCCAAGTGCATAATGAGACAGGAAACCCTGGGCAGAGATTCCTCTCCCCCCCTTCCAAACTCCCTCTGGGCTCTAGTGACTCTTAGGCTGTGTCTACACTGGCACGATCTTGTGCCAAAGCAGCTGCTCTTGCGCAAAAACTTGCTGCCTGTCTACACTGGCCACGTGTCCTTGTGCAAGTAAACTGACGTTTTACTGTATAAAATCAGGGCTTCTTGCACAAGAACTATGACACTCCCGCTCAGGAATAAGCCTTTTTGCACAAGTGCTCTTCCACAAGAGGGCAGTGTAGACAGGCAACATGAATTTCTTGCGCAAGAAAGCCCGATGGTTAAAATGGCCACCAGAGCTTTCTTGCGCAAGAGAGCATCTCCACTGGCATGGATGCTCTTGCGCAAAAGCACATTGACATACCAGTGTCGACACTCTCTTCTGGAAGAGTTTTTGCACAAGGACTCTTCCACAAAAGAGTTCTTGAGCAAGAAGCTGCCAGTGTAGACGTAGCCTTAGACTGGGTCTTGTGTTACCTAATCTCGCTCCTCTTTCAACCAGGAGACTGGTTTGCAGTTGCCTTTGTCCTACCCTTAGCCTAACACTTCCAGACCTATTGGCCTGAGAATGGTAGAGCTCTTTACAAACACCCCACGGGAGGGACTTGCTACTGACTGTGCTAGCTGCAGAATCCAGGAGTCCTCCCTCCGAGGCTACACCCCTCCCCTCCATTTTCATGTGTAATGGACAGGCACCTGCTGCTAATGGTGGAATGTCTGGTTGTCATTCTGCAGGTCCCATTCCCAAGCCTGGTCCTGTGGTCAGCTGGTCACCCCACCCCACCCACCGTATGGCAAAGGGGGAGCTGAACTGGACTCCAGTGTGGACAGAACTCTGGCAGTGGCCTGTGGACACTAGGAACCTCCCAATCCAGACTCCAGTCCCAGGGATTACACTGGTAGCATGGGGATAATTCCCCCCTTCTTCCCCGCTGCTCCCCAGCCATACACCGGCCCCCCGCCATCACCACCACCCTGGAGCCAAAGCAAAACCACTGGGCTCCATCCTCGGGCTCCTCTTTTGGCGTGTGAGCTCGTGGGCAGATGGCCTTGCTGCAGGGAGCCCAGGCAGGGCTGTGTGTGTTATTAAATCCCCCCTCCCAGGCTGGTTGGGGGGCCGGGAGCATGGCGGGAAAGCAAAGCGCTCTGGTCTGGGGGGCCGCTTGGGCGTCTGCTGCTCACAGACACTAGGCGCAGCCCAGAAGAACCCTGCCACAGCCTTGCCAGGGACGCACTTTATTTCTGAGCGAGCTCACACAGCCGCAGCACACGGGCCAGGGGCTAGCGCTGCGGCCTCGGCCCGGGGTGAGCGCCGGCTCCTGCGCCCCGCAGGGGCTGGCTGGGAGAGCGGGCGCCCACGGCGTCGGGTGGATGAATTCGAAGTCGGCTCCCGTGGCTGGGGTGGGTTGTCAGCTCCCCGTTTCGTTGGTGTCTCGGCCGTGACAGGGCTCGGGAGAAAGCCTGCACAATACAGACCTACCGCCGGGGGCCCGGAGCTCGAGCCCGGGCCCAGACGCTGAGCCCCGGCTCTTCCTGCAGGGCACAGCCTAACTAGTCACCGAGCGGCCCAACTAGGCCACCGCCACCTCAGCCTGGCCCTGTGGCCTCCGCTCCCAGCTTTGCCCTGCCCGCCCTGGGCTCTCGGCTGCCCGGCTCTACCCTGCTAGAGGCTGGGAGCCTTCGCCCACCTCTCCTAGCCGGCCCCATCGAGCGGCAGCAGTGTCTCTCCGTGCAGCCCTCCCTGCAGGGCAGTGGCGAGGGAGCGTCTTGTACGTCTCAGCAGGCGTCTCCCAGCGCCCTGCTGCCCTCTCCGCCCGGCCCTGCCCCTCCCCACAAGCTCTGCTCCGCTGCATTGGAGCTGGCTTGTCCTCCTGCTTTCCTGCCCCCTTCTTCCTCTGCCTCTGCGCACCGTGCCCTGCCTGCTGCCCCGTGGCCCTCGCGGGCAGGCTCCTCTCCCCCGCCTCGCTCCAGCGGCCCCTTTGGGCCTTGAACGAGATGAGACGCTGCCTCACGCTCGCCTTGGCTTGCGCCTTCCCTCTCTGCGCTGGAGCCTCCGTCGCCCAGGCCTGGGTCCTCTGCCCCTGCGCGTGCTGGGCCTTCTCCTGCTCCATCTGCTCCAGACGTCCCTTGGGCTGGTCCTGTCCCGGGCTCCCCCCACTCTGCGTCCCGCTTCTCTTCTCCCCCTCCTGTCTCCTCCGTCCCCCCCCCGACCCCAGACGTCCCTTGGGCTGGTCCTGTCCCGGGCTCCCCCCACTCTGCGTCCCGCTTCTCTTCTCCCCCTCCTGTCTCCTCCGTCCCCCCCCCGACCCCAGACGTCCCTTGGGCTGGTCCTGTCCCGGGCTCCCCCCACTCTGCGTCCCGCTTCTCTTCTCCCCCTCCTGTCTCCTCCGTCCCCCCCCCGACCCCAGACGTCCCTTGGGCTGGTCCTGTCCCGGGCTCCCCCCACTCTGCGTCCCGCTTCTCTTCTCCCCCTCCTGTCTCCTCCGTCCCCCCCCCGACCCCAGACGTCCCTTGGGCTGGTCCTGTCCCGGGCTCCCCCCACTCTGCGTCCCGCTTCTCTTCTCCCCCTCCTGTCTCCTCCGTCCCCCCCCCGACCCCAGACGTCCCTTGGGCTGGTCCTGTCCCGGGCTCCCCCCACTCTGCGTCCCGCTTCTCTTCTCCCCCTCCTGTCTCCTCCGTCCCCCCCCCGACCCCAGACGTCCCTTGGGCTGGTCCTGTCCCGGGCTCCCCCCACTCTGCGTCCCGCTTCTCTTCTCCCCCTCCTGTCTCCTCCGTCCCCCCCCCGACCCCAGACGTCCCTTGGGCTGGTCCTGTCCCGGGCTCCCCCCACTCTGCGTCCCGCTTCTCTTCTCCCCCTCCTGTCTCCTCCGTCCCCCCCCCGACCCCAGACGTCCCTTGGGCTGGTCCTGTCCCGGGCTCCCCCCACTCTGCGTCCCGCTTCTCTTCTCCCCCTCCTGTCTCCTCCGTCCCCCCCCCGACCCCAGACGTCCCTTGGGCTGGTCCTGTCCCGGGCTCCCCCCACTCTGCGTCCCGCTTCTCTTCTCCCCCTCCTGTCTCCTCCGTCCCCCCCCCGACCCCAGACGTCCCTTGGGCTGGTCCTGTCCCGGGCTCCCCCCACTCTGCGTCCCGCTTCTCTTCTCCCCCTCCTGTCTCCTCCGTCCCCCCCCCGACCCCAGACGTCCCTTGGGCTGGTCCTGTCCCGGGCTCCCCCCACTCTGCGTCCCGCTTCTCTTCTCCCCCTCCTGTCTCCTCCGTCCCCCCCCCGACCCCAGACGTCCCTTGGGCTGGTCCTGTCCCGGGCTCCCCCCACTCTGCGTCCCGCTTCTCTTCTCCCCCTCCTGTCTCCTCCGTCCCCCCCCCGACCCCAGACGTCCCTTGGGCTGGTCCTGTCCCGGGCTCCCCCCACTCTGCGTCCCGCTTCTCTTCTCCCCCTCCTGTCTCCTCCGTCCCCCCCCCGACCCCAGACGTCCCTTGGGCTGGTCCTGTCCCGGGCTCCCCCCACTCTGCGTCCCGCTTCTCTTCTCCCCCTCCTGTCTCCTCCGTCCCCCCCCCGACCCCAGACGTCCCTTGGGCTGGTCCTGTCCCGGGCTCCCCCCACTCTGCGTCCCGCTTCTCTTCTCCCCCTCCTGTCTCCTCCGTCCCCCCCCCGACCCCAGACGTCCCTTGGGCTGGTCCTGTCCCGGGCTCCCCCCACTCTGCGTCCCGCTTCTCTTCTCCCCCTCCTGTCTCCTCCGTCCCCCCCCCGACCCCAGACGTCCCTTGGGCTGGTCCTGTCCCGGGCTCCCCCCACTCTGCGTCCCGCTTCTCTTCTCCCCCTCCTGTCTCCTCCGTCCCCCCCCCGACCCCAGACGTCCCTTGGGCTGGTCCTGTCCCGGGCTCCCCTCTTTCTGCTCTTTCTCCCCCAAGTCCTGTGTCTTCCCCAGAATCCCGCAGGCCTCGTTCCCCCTTTGGGTGGATGTTCCCTTCCCCAAGTCCTGCCTCTCCCATGACCCCCTCTGGTCCAGACCTGCCTTGGTCTTGTCCTTCCCCCTGTGCTGTGGAGCTTGCTGCTCCCAGCCTGGTCTCTTCCCTACCTTCCCCCCAATCTCCTCCCTCCTGCCGGCCAGCTCCAGCATTCCCAACCCCTTCCCACTGCCCCCTCCCTGCTTTGGCCCCTTGGAGCTGCGGCTGCTGGAAGAGGCCCTGGTAGCGCTGCCGATCTTCCACGCGTTTTTCTCTCATCCGCTCCCCCAGCAGCCTCAGCTCTTTCTTCACAGCCGCTGCCAGCGACGGGTCCAGTTGAGCCACCCTCAGGAAGTCGTCTCGGGCCTCCGCTTCGTTCCAGACGGCCGCATGCGCCTTGGCACGCTTGAAATAAGCCTTCACGTTCTCTGGCAAGTGCGGAGAAGCTTGGGGTTACGCTCCTTTTCCTACTAGCCTCTATCAACCCCCCGTCAGCTCATGGCCTGAAGGGTTCATATCCCCACTGGGGATGTTCTCATTGTCCAGGTCTATAACCTTAGGCTGTGTCTACACTCGCGGCTTCTTGTGTCAAATATGCAAATGAGGCTAAGCTTGGAATACTACCAAGCCTCATTTGCGTACCTAATGAGCCGTCATTTTTGCAGAAGAGGCTCTTGCGCCAGAAGGAGCTGTCTACACTGTCCCTTCGTGCGCAAGAAAACCCCTCTCGTGGAATGCCGTTATTCTGCACAAATGGCGGCTCATTAGGTATGCAAATGAGGCTCACGGATATTCCAGGCTTAGCCTCATTTGCATATTTGACACAAGAAGCCATGAGTGTAGACCTACCCTTAGCGAGCTCTGGGCCTATAGAGCCAATGACAGCAAGTGGCACAGGCTACGTTATAGCTACTGTGACAGTATTCCCTGTCCAGGACAGAGTTCTCACCTGGGAAAAGCTGTAGATGAGGGACAGGAAAACACTCAGGGTATGTCTACACTACCCCGCTAGTTCGAACTAGGAGGGTAATGTAGGCATACCGCACTTGCAAATGAAGCCCGGGATTTGAATTTCCCGGGCTTCATTTGCATAAGCCGGCCGGCGCCATTTTTAAATGCCGGCTTGTTCGAACCCCGTGCCGCGCGGCTACACGCGGCACGGGCT